AGTAACAAGCATCACTGTGTGGTGACTGATGTTGAATAGTAACCACTATACTTCAGATTAATCTGCAGTCGATGAGAGAAAGCTGAGCGTTTTCTAACCCCAGATTCTCTCCTTGACTGTAACCGTCCAGTTAAACCTCACTGAAAAATAATTACAAAATGGAACTCTTGTTATGTGGATTATTTTGAAAAAGAAAAAACACTAGGACCCCGATTTGCGCCTCCACTCTGTCTCTTGTGTGGTGCAACAAAGGGGATAGACTCAGGTCTTACAATCTTTGTTAGAGATTCCCCTAGAGCACAGGAGTTCCCAACAGGCACTGAGTCAGTTTTGTTGTCTCTTGTACCATCATTTCCCACAAGCCTGGAAGAGAGGAGCATATTGGGGGCATAAAAGAGGCATGTCTGACATGCATTGTATTCCATCTAACTTCTTTGGGGAACCTGGTACGTGTTAGGACAGTCCACTGACCTGTTCTCCACCAGATGGAAAATTAGAGAGCTGTATCCAGCTCTGAAAAGAAACTCAACCTAATATAGAATCAGGTCTGATAATTCACTGTATCTCCCACAACAGCAGACGCATAGATACGTATATTTGGGGTTTTTTTTTAAATCTCTTAGCAGGCAGGTACTTTTATATTCAGAAATGTGTATGTTCCTTTATTTTCAGAAAAAATTATGATCTGTTTTGTGCTGATAAAATTGAGACTTTGATAATAGTGGTTACAGCTATGAAAGACATGTATGTGCTTTGTAACCCTCATCAAAAATCTTTGGCTGTGCCTCTGAGCTTTCATCTTTTCTATCACTGATTTCCATTTGCTAACCTCTCATTAGCAGGGATTGAAATGAATTGTTCCAGTTTGTGCTGTGATTGTCCACTTGAGAACTATGTTGAGAACATCACATGTGGGATCCCAACCCTATTAAAGTCAGTGACAAAACTCACATGGAATTTGATGGGGACAAAATTTCACTCATATTCTTTTCCCTTGTGACCTAAACAGGATATTTGAAGATAATGTACTAATTACTGTCAACTAGTCATATGTAATATTATTTGTACATCGTTACTAAGTCTGTTTCTAATAGCAAAAGTGGGAAAACCATGATGCCTTTGTCACAGAAAAATATGGAAAATTCAGAATATTGGGGTGAGTTAAAAAAGAAAAAAACAAGGTATGCAGTATTTAAATTGTTTACATTTATTTTCCTTTTGAAAAGCATTAAACAGCTGTCAGCAGTACTATGAAACGATATTAAGAGAAGGAAATAGTAATATCTACCAAATAGTCAAATTTGTTAATAATAATTAATTGAAGAAAGACTTGCTCAATAGCAGACAGACTAGGATGAAAAAGGACCATGGGCCAGACCCTCAACTGGTCTAAATCAGTGCAACTCAATAACATGGGGAGATGCTGAATTATACAGCTGTGGATCTGACCCCTTGATGTTATGACAATATCCTTAAAAATGACATTTTTGGTACAGAATTGAGTGAGATACAATCTGAAGTGGGAACTGAACCAACATGCAAACTCAGAAAATGTTTTTAAAAAATGGTGATTCACAGCCATCGAGAGCTGTGATTGTTCGATACCTGCATAGGTGCAGGTAAACATAGCAGCAGCAGCCTACCAGAGACTAACCCTGGCAGGCTGCTGGGTTTTTTTTATTGCCCACTCCTACTCTATGCTGTTTAGGTGATTTTTTAAAATTGTGTATTTAACAACAGATTGGACTTCCCTGGCCTGCTACCCTCAAGACCTCACCGTCCTGAACAAGGGAATTTTCCAGACCAGGGGAGATCCCCTGCCATTGGCACCCCAGCCCACCACTGGCTCCACTTCTGACCGACTATGCAGCACCCCTGGCTGAACCCTCTATCACTGGGCTTCCAGCCGTGCCACTGGACACACAAACACCCCTGCCTCAGAGCTCCTTGCACCACTAGAGCTTCCTGTCCCAGGGCTCCTGACCATGCTGCCAACCTCCCCCCTTGCCATGGGGCTTCTAGCTGCACAACCAGTCTCCCTGCTGCATGGGTTCCCAAATCCACCATGGGTTCCCCTGGCCTGAGGCTCTCTGGTCCAGAAACATCTGTGGTCCAGCGGTTTAGGGAGGTACTTTGATATTGAAAGTAAACTTGTAAAAAGGCTAGGTATTTCAGTAACTTAAATAGGTCCTTTTATTATATTTCCTAATTACAGTTTAGTTTAGAAATGTTGTTTTGGGTTGTGGTTTGTTGGCTTGTCTTTGTTTTATTTGTTTGTTTTTGTTTTTAACATTTTCTGAGTTTGCATGTTGGTTCAATTCCCACTTTAGATTGTATATTACTCAACTCTGTGCCCAATTAGACATTCACTATTGGTTAATATGAAAACTGAAATACTAAACAGTGAGCACTTTAGACCCACTGGTAGTGGTGGCCTGCTGGCTGGGATCTGCGGAGCATTCATAACCGTACAACAGAGCCCAAGTTGATTCCAGAACTAAATAAACCATGCAGTCTTCATGTTGATGTGGCAGGGAATAGAGAGGGGCTTCTGTGCCATTGTTGGAGTTCAAACCCCTCCAGACACCACAAAAACAGTCCCAGTAGAGATAACTTTGATCTATGGTTGGGTTTTGTTTGTTTGCTTTTGCTTTTGCAATGCACTAGATTGCACCAAGTGGCATTTATTTTCATAATAGTTTCCCCGGGGAATGTGTCAAAACCCCTTAAATGTGTTATTCCTTTGCCCTCACACCATAGTTATGCAATGGTTTGGTATAAATTGATGTATTTATACCTATTTTAACAACCCAGAAATAACCCAAAAAGCTATATTAAAACTGCATTTATTTCTTCATCTAGATAGAACAAAAACTGAATAATTACAAACAGATTTTGCAAATAACCCCCCAATACTTAAAATAATATTTCCTACTTGTTACATTACAGAGCAGGCTTCTTGTAAATGTCAGAAGTTTGGTTATTCTAAAGAATGAGGTAGACAGGCATAGTTAGGGATTTACCATCATTCTGAAGCTATCAGGAATATTCAACCAAGATGATCACTTTGTATTCTGAACTGGTTCTCAGTCTTTGAGGCTTAGGAAAGTGCAGGCTGGGCCTGTCTCTGATGCTGACCCTGTATATTATGATAAAACTTATTTGCACAATGATTATTCTAAAAGACTATTTCATTGTCACCATGCGTGAGATAAGGCTTCACTTTTTATTTAAATACATTTCTTCAATTTGAATCTTCATTGAACAGTTTAAAGATACTTTTTTTTCCCAAACTTGATTATATGAGAGCATTGATAATTGTTCTTGCTGTCTCTGAAAGTGGCAATCTAGATTAGACAAACTAGAATTACCCAGTTTTGCATTGGGTCCTTATGCAGTCACCTGTAATATAAAAATAAGTCTGGGTTGATACATGACTAGCCTATTCTGCTTGAAGCCTTATATTTGCACAAGAATGTTGCATTGTTTAATTTAATTTAAATCGGTGGACATTCCGGTTTACATACTTCTTGTTTTGAAAGGCTTATTTTAGTGTAGCTCTAATAATTCCTGATTTAAACTAATCAAAACAAGTGTGTTTGCACTAGGAATGTTAAATATCTGTTACTTTAATAGTCATGTAACCTCACGAATTCTTATCGGTTAGTCGACTATTCTATAGTCCCTGGGGGCAAGGCCAACAGCCAGTGTGCTCTGGCCCCACTCCGGAGGAGCCTTCTGCCAGTCTGTGCTGATGCCTGCTGTATCTATATCAGAGGCAGCAGCATGGGGTGCCAAGCGGAAGCTGGTCCACAAGGGGAGCCAGTTTAAAAAACAACTCCACTCACAGGACCCAGCTAGAGCTGGAACTGAGCTGGGCTGCCTGCCTGCTCAGCTCCTAATACACTTTAAATGCAGAGATGCAGCAGACTCATTGCCAGGCAGGACTGAACCAGACTGCTGGCCAGACTGCTAAAAAATGTATTGGCGGGGAGGGAGGAGGAGAGAAATGCATGTAGTCTATGGCATTAACCTATAAGCTTTTGCTTATTGGTTAATCGGTTAATCAACTAACTATTGCATCTCTAGTTTGCACTGGATTAATTTACATGTATGTTCTTAAATTGATGCAATTTTCTCACACAGACAAGACTTTACTTTTCCAGCTTTTTTGCTGAGAGCAGGAAAACAGAGAATTAGTATGAAATAAGTTTGGCTCTAGGCAGGAGGCCATGTAAATACCCTCCTAATGTCGGGGAGTTCATAGACAGTAGAGAGGAGTCCATTCCACAAAATTGGGAATTGTTCACACCTGCCCTAGCCCATAACCTACAGTGCTGTAGTTCAAACAGAAAGTAATTCAGGAAAGTTCTGTGGGCTGTATTTATACAATAGCATAGACTACAGCCTCTTCCCGACTTACGAACCGGTTACGGACCAAGCAGTTGGTCGTAACTCGGTTCGTTCATAAGTCAAACCCCATTGAGTTACATGCGACCGCGCTGTTCGTAAGCGCGGATCGCGTTCGTAACTCAGGGTCTGCCATTTACGACAGCTTTGGTCGTAACTGCGAATGGTCATAAGTCGACCGTTTGCAACTCGGGGACCGGCTGTTATTGATTACAGTATAACACAGTTGTTTTTTCTGTCATAATAATCAGTGAACACCAATCTCCAAAACACAGTAATTTAAATTAAAAGTTGTAAATTGTAAATACATCTAAAATGTTGCACAGTCCCTGAAATTTAAAACACACAGTTGGTGTACAGTTTGTCATATATTTCAAACTGTATATATGTTGAGGTAGTTTTGCCTTTTGGTGACAATTTAATCTGCCCATTAAACTGTGCCCAGAATGTCTACATCCTGCAAAGTCCATCCAAATAGTATGTTCTGTAGTTGCACTAAGGGTGAAAGGCCTTTTAAAATTGTAATGCTAATATAATAATTAAACTCATGTTTTTTCTTCATTAAAATATCTTTCTAGAGAAGTGTGTATATCTAGAGGTAAGTTTCTTATGTGTATATCATTAACACACACACACACGCCCTCTTGTTTTGTTTTACTGAAAAACAGAATTAAAAGGGTACGTTTTATTGCTGAAAATAGCCAGAGTTAGAAAGAACCTAAAATAGGTACTCAACCAGAAGTTTCCATATAGGGCTTTAAAGGTGTTGCTGCTTTTCAAAAATAGCTGTAATTGTCTTTTTACTAACAAAGAAAATTGTTATTATGTGTACAAGTTACTGAGTTTTTATAATAATCAGATACATTGCATCTTCCATCCAAAGATCTGAAACTCTGAGAATTAATAAATAAATCTCCCAACAGCCTTGCCTTGGTGCAGTTATCTGATTCTATCTCCATTGCAGCCCCGGGGCCATGTGTCTGGGTTGAGGGCAGTAATGCTACATTTAATTGATTTCTTGTTATGTGATGCCTTCCAGTGGCTTTCCAGCCTTGGTATAAGCCAGCTGTCAGGAAAGGTGCGGCTTTTTCATGCTTCAGGTGCTTCACCGCTGTTGGTGTGGGTTACTTAGTACCTTCACTTTGTTCCTTTGAAATTCAGGAGCATAAAGGCTGGTAGCCTCTTCTCCCTGTGGGGACCACCCCCACTTCTCCTCTTGGGTTTCATCTTGGGTTTCCCTACCGGATTTACTTGTAATAGACCCTGACAATTTGGGGATTAAAACTAAATGGCTTTTAACAGGCAAAGAGTTTGCCTCTGACTAAACACAGTCTTGTGTTGAAAACATGTATTGGTACCAACAAAGGAGCTGAGCTACTGCTCCCTCTGGAAGGCCTCCCCTGTTTTGCTGAGCACCTCCAGCTAATGAGGCAGAGACCTGCAGGAATCCCTGCCAGTGGGGTCCAGGTGTTACTCTGGTGTGACAGAGAATCAGCCTTTTGAGGTGGGAGGAGATGCAGCAAGGCATTGGGGCTGTGGGGTGTAAGTGGGGTTCTAGGGAGCCGCTCTCTATGTTAAGTGTTTCAACGGGAACCTTTATGCGCCTTCGGTTCCTGCTCCAGACACCAATAAAATCAGAGGGCAGCCAGAGGATTTGCTTCACGTCTCCTTTCTCTTCCGTTCAGTCCCTCTCTGGTCAGGGGGATGCTGCAAATCAGGGTTGTCTCCGCAAAGCAACTACGAGGGGCCAAGCGTCCGTCGAGCCTGAGCCTAATTTCGGAGATTCTCAGCCCTTTACACAACCTGTCCCAAGATGCCGCCTCTTCACGCACGTGGGGCCCTGGCAGTGGAAGAGTCTTCAGCCGCTAGGAGGCGGCGCCGAGCTTCAGTGCATTCAGCGAGGGAAGCTGGGCTTAGACGAGGCACTGCTCAGGCAGGTGAACAGGGGCCGCTGACCTACGCTAGGTTGGTTCTTGCCTAATCTCGGTGTCTAAGGATCTCAGAAGCGACGGGTCAGTTCAATGCGCTGAGCACCTTCCCTGCCGGCCCTGTGACATACACTAGGGTCTTCAGCGCGTCCGGCGTGGGTCGGCCTTCTCTGTGCAGAATCGGGAGTGTGAGGGATTTCTGGGGCAAGGGTGTGCGCGGTACCTCGGCAGGGAGTCTGTTGGGCTAAATGAGGGCGAGGAGCGGAAACCCGACGGGACTGCAGCAGCGGACAATAGGAATCGCTCGGCCAAGTGCCTAGAAATCGGAGGAAGAAAAGGGCCCGTCTCAGGTCTCTCTGCTTTTGAATCGTTAGGCTCCCTTGCTGGAGTAGAGTAACTCGTTGCCTGCTCTCGGAGCTTCGAGGCATTTAGGATCAATCTGGCAGAGGTGTTGTAGTGTTCATTCTCTGTACCATTGCTCCTAATTCTGGTTTCCCGCCGTATTTTCTTTAAACCTGGGGATCCCTTATGCGGACTGGACAATTCAATCTTTTCCAGAATACACCCCTAACCCAGCCCGAAATCTCGGGTTATCTAGACCAGCAGCGTTTGGCGATCGAGCTGGAGGAAGCACAGGTTTGAAACAGAAGCATTTTTTGAAAAAAAGCCATCATAACTGTGCATCTCTGAAACCGCTGCTTCTGCTGTCCGGAAGCTTGTAGTAAAAGATCTCACGGCCTTCTCAGCAATGGAACTTGCAACTTAATAGAATTAGATCAGTCTTTGAATACCACTTCGGTTACAACTCGTTTTTCCCCGGCTAGGATGTAATGTTCAGGGAGGTGAACCAGTCGCGAATCACAAACAAGCAATCTCCCACTACACACAATACAATCCAGTGAACCTCGCCTACAAGATATTATCTGCGGTGTAAGGGGAAGGCTTTGGAGCAGATCTGCTACATGGCTAAACCTGCATTACATAATAACTTGGCTTTCCCAAAAGAAATTCCCTAAAGCCTGGTTCTTTCCGGTCCCCGCTAGCCAGAGGTGCTGGGGCAGAGCCAGCAGGGATTCCGTAGGAGGTTGGTGTGGGTTTGTGCCTCAGGAAGGTGAAAGTACTTTTCCTTTAGGAAGGGAATTGCTTTTACTTCTGAGCAAGATCAGGCAGGGGTTCCAAAGTAGGGAATGGCCCTTTAAAATAATCGCCAAGTCATGAAAGCCACGTTTCGATCCCAAGCCCATGATTGTGAAGAAAATGCCAGTGGTGAAATAAAAGGGGAGTAGCAGATTTAGGGTAGGCACTACCTGTACTCCATGCTCTGCAGAAGCTTCTCCAATTGCTTACTCTCCTCTTTGCTGCACACGACTGGGAAGTGTCATTTACCAAACAGCGAATCATCAGAAAAATGTTGACGGTCCGGGGCAAAAGTCCCGGGGAACAGGCAGGGAAAGAAAAGGCTAAAAACCTGACCAATCCTCAAAGGATCCCCTGACTTGCTCACTCCTGCTCACCCTCCAACATGCCCGCTATGGGCAGAGTTTTACAGCGCGGTTTTCGTTTTGTGTTTCAGACACTTGTCATTATGGTAGAGTCCTTTGTGGTAAGGGCTTCATTCTAAAGACGCTCCTGAAATGCTTGGATTTGGGGTCTCTTCCTGACTGCCCGGTCTGTGCTATGCCAGCGGGAGAAGCCCACCCTGTACACTGGGAAACTACTGATTTGCGCGAAGCCGGTCCTGCTTTCCCCGGGAAGTTCTTGCTTCTGCCCAAGTATTTGTAAACGTCCAAGAAACGCTCAATCCAGCACGTTTGCACATGCTAACGCAAACAAAACTTGAGGAAATTAATTAATTAAATGTTCCCAGCCCAGCAATCTTCCTTAGAAAGGGGGACAGACGGGGTGAAAAGCTGCCCTGCTCCTCCTCCTTCCCACCCGCTTTCTTGCCTGTTGTGGAGTTGGGACGTTTCTTTCTTCAGACGAAACTAAAAGCTTGAATCGGGAGTGTTTGTGGCATGAACAAAAGTCAATGGCACCGAGGTTGGGGGGACAGTGGGATGACGATGGAGATTAGGAGAAAGGCTGTGGTCACAGAACCCAAGCATAAAGGGGAGACTGGCCCCCTCCCTTCCTGGTCTCCAAGGCCCTGTCATTTTCCAGGTAAGATGAATGTCCTCCCATCAATCATTTCGCACAGCCCCCAGGGAGAGCCGGGAATTTGCTGGGTTACTGAAACTTATTAGCCTCAGACTGGGCGGCTTTGTTGCGCAGACAGAGCTGCTCTTTTGTGAGCTTTGTTCCCGAGATTTATACATTTCCATAATGGATTAGCCATGTAACAAACTGCTGAGGCAGGGCTCGCCACGTTTCCTCCACTTTCTTCGCCGACGGATTTTAGGACAAGTTAATCTGTAAATATGTGAGTTCCACTCCCTCCTCACTTCGCAGGCTGTTATCTTTCTAGATAAGCAGGTAATTATCGATCAATTTGAATGTAAATGGGTTCGTAAAGAAATCAAGTGCACGATCACTTGTCATTGCCACTACAATTTCATCTCCTGCTTACGCTACGCTGTGTAATAAACATGTATTGTGCCATCCCAGTCCTTTGAACTTTGAGGAACTCAGTCCGAAAGGAAAGAACTTCATTTAGAAGGAAACAAATTGTCACGCTCGTCACGAAGTGAAGAATGACAAACAGGGAAGTGTAATTTGCTATTTACTGTACAGCCAGTTAATTTTTTAGCGAATACATTTGTCAAGGCATTTTAACCGCAAGGAGTTAAAAGAAAACCCAGGGCTATTGGTTTAAGTCAATCAAAAACAAGTGCTACTATTTGAGGGCGAATAGTCCAAGCAGACAAATAGAAGTAGTCGGTCTTCAGTAATGTGGAACGCCGCATTGCTTACAGTGCTTGTTCTATAGAATAGAATCCGGTATATTAGACTGCATTGCCTAGCTGATGCTCATTTTAAAGCGATTAAAAGGAATTGCAAAGAAAATAGCATGCGCAGATGCAATTGTTAGCTGGAGTGATTTTACTGATGTTTCTATTCTCCGACCCTTAATAGCTGATAATACATTTTAACGAGGATAAGACTTGAATAAAAGCGTTTTAAGAGCGGGAGAAGACGTCTTTTTGTCGTTAAGTGGTTTGCTTTGAAGTCCTCACAGGCTGTAGAAGGGTGGGAAGTATACAATTTACAAGCATAACGAAATCAATGGCATTTGTGTCATTCATAACTTCCCTCAGCGGCCATTCATTTTATTCCATCGTTTCCTCTCTCATCTTTGGTCCCTGGGCAATAAAAAGCTGGGACCGGAGTGGTAAATTCGTGCAAACAGACAAATGGTTCTATTGCGTTCCCCGGTTCCTCTCTTCTTGAACAGGCATGGGTAGTGGGTGAAGCTGCTTCTTGGGGAAGCAAGCTCCCCCGACTCCCCAGTCTGTGGCCCTGCCCATATTCCTCCCTGTTTTGCCCAGGCCTGGCCCCCTCCTCACTGTTTCTTCTTTCCCCTCCATCTCTCCGCTCACCCCTTCCAGGCAAATCCCCGAACCCAAATGTAGTAAATGGCATTTGAAAAAAACCAAACACTCCGCTAAAATTTCTTTCTAAAGCAAATAGAGCATGTATTCCACTGCAAGATATGCCTGAAGTTGGTCAGAGATTTATTTGCAAAAGCTTTGTAGTAAGGTCAAGTCAGTTGTCCTACTGAATACAACATTAAATATTATGGAACACATGATGCAGCCCTTCTCTGTTTTATATTTTCTTCGCCAGTATTTCTAAACTGATTTTATATTTTAAATATACTCCTAAGCCGTCATAAAGTAATCGTTCACATTACTACGTATTTAAACTCACTGAAACAAAGACATTATTTTAAATAAATCAAAGCAGTTCATAACAAAGTTCATTGCTTTTAAAAAAGGGAACGCTAATTTACTTTGATTTTCATAACAAAACATGTTTATGAAATTTCACTATGCTTGTTAAAATATGTTTCCAAAGATTTTAGGCATAACAAGCTATTTTATATCTTACTAAGATACTGATTTTGGTGGAGGGTTCTCTTAAAACTAGTTCATCAAATAATCAGAAGTAAAGAAAGGGTCCAGCTCTCTGAAAGAAAAGAGATGTTGTCTCTTTAGAGATCTCTCCAAAAGAAAAAAAGAGATTTAAAAAAAGAGATTACAGGAGAAAGATTACAGCAACTGGGATGGACAAAAAGGACAGGAAGACTTTAATTACTATAGTAATTAAAATTAAAATGAAAAAACTTAAAAAACAACAAATAGACTAGTAGCACCTTAAAGACGAACAAAACATGTAGATGGTATCATGAGCTTTTGTGGGTACAACCCACTTCTTCAGATGAAAGGAGTATTAGAAGTTCAGCTCCAAACATACCATCTACATGCTTTGCTAGTCTTTAAAGGTGCTACTAGTCTATTTGTTGTTTTTTAAGTTTTTCCTGTTACAGACTAAGTCGGCTAGCCCTCTGAAGCTTTGAAAATTAAATTGTGTATTTTTAAATAAGGGTGGTCTTTTGAACAACTTATTTAAAAAACTGTATGTCTGCAGATCCAAACATTTAAGGCTAAAGCTGAATATTCAGATTGTGCGTCTAAAAATCTATCAATGATTTTTTAGAGATGTGATTTTATAATCCTCAGCAGCAAACTAAGGAAATGTTTAAAGCAAATTTTCAACTAAGGTCCTGTAGACATATTACTCTAATGCAGGACAACTTACAGTGAGGTAGCCGTATTAGTCTGTTTCAGCAAGAACAAGGGAGGTCCCGTGGCACCTTACGGACTAGTACATTTATTTGGGCCCATGAAAGCTTATGCCCAGATAAATGTATTAATCTTTAAGGTGCCACAGAAGTCCTCGTTTTTAATGCACAGCAGTTTTTGTCAGTTCAGTTTGCTTCATTACAAATTAATGGCTCTTTCACAGGGTCAATGTTATGTTAATAGATGTGACAAGCTGGAACCCTTTTCACTTTTCAGATAATGGATCCACTCAGGGGAAGACTCTTACCAGGGTGCTACCGCCTGCTGTGGGAGCCTGCAAGAACCGGCAGAATAGAGATAGGAAGCGGGCAGCTGTTGAGCGCTAAGACCCAGGGCAGGCATTGCCTCCCCTTGTCTCTGATCCCTGCTGCCTGTGTGAACAGGCAATACAGAAGCTAGTCAGTAGCTGCTCTGGGGAGGAGCTCTGCAGTCCAGCGGCTTCAACAGGGCGGCAGCACCACGGCTCGCCCAGGAGCGGTGTGTTAAGCCCTTTTTCTGAATAAAGGTTTATTTCACTCCCGTTTCGAAGCCACCCACTTCCCTCTCAACCAATCGGGATAGTGCTTGCCTGGGGCCCCGCCACGCCCCCCTCCCTGCCAGGATAAAAAGCCAGGCTCCAGGGGTGATGAGCAGCATCCAGCAGCAGGAAAAGCCCCGTCTGTAGCCAGCACCATGAAGAACTCCATGTTCGAGGCGGCCTCCCTGCTGCTGGAGAAGCTGCTCCTCTTGGCCAGCCTCAGGCTGTACAGCGTGGGCCCCGGCGCGGGGACAGAGGAGGAGGAGGAGGAGAAGCAGCCCAGCTACTACGACACCACCTACTTCAAGCGCGGCGACCTGCTGGAAGTGCCCCGCACCCTCTTCGTGCACTTCGGCATCTACCTGGGGGACAACCGGGTGGCGCACCTCATGCCCGACATCCTGCCCGCCTTCACCGACGACCAGCAGCAGATCCAGCAGGTGGTGACCAACAAGCGGCTCATCCTGGGCGTGGTGGCCCGCACGGCCCGCATCCGCGTGGACACGGTGGAGGACTTTGCCTACGGCGGCTCCATCCTGGTAAACCACATGGACCGGCGCACGGCCCGCATCCGCGTGGACACGGTGGAGGACTTTGCCTACGGCGGCTCCATCCTGGTAAACCACATGGACCGGTTGGGATGATGTTTTCCCAGATGTATTACTTTGCATTTATCAACATTAAAATTCATCTGCCGTTTTTCAGGACCAAAGGTGGTCCCCTGCCATTGGCGTCCCAACCTGCCTCCCCTCATGGCCATGTTGACCCGGGGCTAGGGCTCTGGCCCCCTCTA